TCTCCTGACCCTCTTGAGGGTTTTTTTTCTCCCACCACCCCCTATTCTGTATTGCTTCAGATTTATTTCATTTATAATCTCGATGTGTTTACCTTTATTGAGACAGGATTATAAACCAAATGAAAAAAGGGTAAAAAAACAAACAAACAAATAAACCTCTCATGATTGAGCTTTGGGTCAGCACCAATCAACTAATGTGTAAGCTTGAATTATATTGCAATACAGACTCAGTTCTCGCTTATACTGTTTCCCCTTTGCACTATACTGGCTGTGTTAAATTTGTACCTCCTCAAATTTGGATATGCAAAGGGTGCGCAGTTCACCATGCTGTGGTATGTTTCATATTTATATTACCCTCATTTTGAAGGACTCTTTAAACTGCTGGAGTGCTGCATCATCCATAGGTGAGAATAAGTTTAGGTAGCTTTGCTGGGTAACCTGAACTAGCAGAATCTGACTGTGGCTCTCCCAATTCTGTGAGAAATATCTGACCTATTGCAGTTTAGAGATTTGGGATTTTTTTCTGTAATCAACTTGAACACACAAAGAGAAAAAAACAGAATCTTCTGATATGTTGTGAATTTGTCCACTTTTCCCAGAGACTCTTCATTCAGCGGAGTATAGTTAATGACCATTTTTTTTCTACAGCTTTAATGGCTATAGGCTATGCCTCGGGCCGTTAGCTACCAAACTAGTCATTAAATGCCAGTCGGGATGATTCTCAGAGATTATTGCTTTTATTTTAATTTTTGATGGACAAAATGGTACTTCTGTACCAGGCGGAATGGATAGGGACCGGAAAAGGGAGAGATGCATCAAGCAATCTTGTATTTGTCAAATATCATTGAGATATTGCTGTGTGAATATGTAAAACTCAAGTGTCTTATATTTGCTTTAGTGGGTTGATACAGTCTTACTGTGGGAGAATTTTGGAAAGCTACATTAATTAGTAGGGCTGTGTGAAAGAGCACTATTTTGTTTTAACTTCCGTTTTGCTGTTTCGAAGCGACACTGTTTCATTTTGCTGTTTCAAAGCACTGTTACGTTTTGTTTTGTCAAATCTGTTTCACTGTTTTGATGCGTTTCGACGTTTCGCCCATAGGATATAATGGGGAATCATGAAAAAGCCTATAACTTTGTCATTTTTTGCCTGATTCAGATAAAAATTGCAGAGATGGCAACCCCTTCTGAGCGTATGAAGTCTGCCAAGTTTCAAGGAGATAAGTGCAGGGGTTTCTGGGAAACTGAACCTCAAACTGTTCAGAGCAAAATTTGTATCACTTGCTGGCAGCAGCAGCCTGCTGTCATTCTGCATGCAGACTGGGGGACCCCCCCCTCCCCCCCTGGGAGGGCTGTGGGGCTGTGCCGGACTCTTCCAGGGGGATGCTGGATGACAGCAGGCTGCAGCTGCTGGCTGGAACTGGTGTTCGATGAAGCCTGAGCCGAGAGCTGGAAAGACTGGTGCTGCCTGCAGTGGCAGCCTGCTGAAACCCCATGTACAGATTGGGGGCCCACGCTCCCCGGGAAGAGCTGGGGAAATGATCAGAGAGCTGGAGGAAGTGATTAGAATGCTGGGGGATTGAATAGGGAGCTAGATGTCAATATTAGAGCAGTCTTACCCCCATTTTCCCCCTCCTCCTTAGTTTCTGTTTAGCTGCAAGCAAGCCGGCTTCAAAACTTGAAACATTTTGAAACTTTCAAAACATTTCAAGTGCCCTTGTTTCATTTCAAAGGGGTTCAAAGCCTTTTGTTTCATTTTGATTTCACTGTTTTGAGCTTGAAATGTATCAAAATGACTTCGAAATGAAACACCTGTCGAAATTTCGCACAGCCCTATTAATTAGTTCAGGTCTTGGTGAGGATTTTCTCTCATTTAAAGGCAGCTACCTAGTATTTATCAGTTGAAAAAAAGAGGCCTCAGGAATATATAACAATATTTTGGATTTTAATGATCTTATTGGTATATATCAGTACCTTAGCAATTGCCTAAGTCCTTTTGACATCAGACAAAAATATTTGTAGGCATCTTTTATTCATATTATAAACTGGTTCCATCTCAGATGTCTCATCAGCCCTGTTTGCTTTAGCCCATTGTCCTTGGTAATCAGTTCAGTTTTCTAGTACAGTATACAGAGCATAGGTTTAGGTTAGTTATTAGGAAGAACTACTTCACTGTAAGGGTGGCCAGAGCCTGGAATGGGCTTCCCAGAGAGGTGGTGCTCTTGCCTTCCCTGGAAATCTTCAAGAGGAGACTGGATAGGTACCTGGCTGGGGTCTTATGAGCCGTCCCACCCCCAGTGTCATTCCTGCCTATGGCAGGGGGTCGGACTCGATGATCTGTCTAGGTCCCTTCTGACTCATTGATTCTATGAGACATAGACACAGCTTTAAATGTTTTTTCAACGTACCTCTAGGTACCAGGCAGCTCATGAATGCTGCGATGGTGGGGCAGATGGAGCATCCCACAGGAATGTGTGGGGCTCCCCAGTGTGCTTGGCAGCAGATCCAGAAATGGACCAGAAGCACTTCTGCTGGGGAGCACATGGGGGGCTCCCCCGTGCCCTCACAGCTCAGCAACTGGTGCCTCCTGGGTCTGAGGGGGCACCCAGGGTCCCCCTGCAGCCAATTGCTGAGCGGGGGTGGGGGGCCTCCAGCACACTTGGCAGCAGACATGCGGACTTCTGGTCCATTTCCAGGTTCACTGCTGAGCATGTGGGGGGGGGG